AATAAATTAAGATTCAGTTGAATCGAGATTTAGTAAATATACCTACTTCAGTAACTTGCAGTCATGTCGGTCTACAATCGGTTTAACAGGTAGACCCTGTGTCAGTTATATTTTTTTAAATATGGCAAAAGAAAGTAAGTAAAGAGAATCAATAAAGTCAACTCTATCTACAATTTTTGTCCCCAACAATTAATTATTTAACTTTCTAATGAAAAAAACCTATGACTAGAATTTTTTAAATGTTTATTTTACGAAAAAGTACCAAAACAGTGACACTAAAATTAGATTTTTTCTTTGAAAAATTCTACATTTGGTACAGGACCCTAAATAAATTAAGTCAGATGCAATTACACGACGAAGTTATTAATAAAATTATGTTTATTTTAATAACCAATTATTTTGTGCGAAATTAAATGATTTTAAGATTTTTCTTGTTAAATGGCCTGAAAATGAAAATCATAAAGTGGCACTTTTTCTAAATACTTAAAGCTTATTATTAATGAATAAGAAAGTCATGTCAAGTCGATGTCATGCAAACAAAGTCACGGCCACAACAAATAAAGCAATGAAAACTAGTTTCATTCATGAAAATAAGTGTTTGTACGTTTTCACTTTTATACCTATACTAGCTGTGCCCCGCGGTATTACCCGTGGTTTATTTTCCCTCCGTAAAACGTAGCCTATGTGTTATAACAAGGTGTCAGTTAACTCCATACCAAATTTTATTAAAATCGCTCCAGCCGTTTAGACGTGAAGAAGTAACAAACATATACACTCACAAACTTTCGCCTTTATAATATTAGAGTGTCCAATCGCAAAAATCTATTTTGAAATACAGAAAATAGAGGAGCGATAAACTCTTTTACTGTTAAGTTTATTATTTAATGATTAATGTCAAGAATTTAAATGACTCAACTATTAATAACCACAGAATAATTCCAACAAATATCATTAGCACATAGCGTATATTTAAGATTATAAATTTTGAACGGGTCAGCTCACATCTTTTTAGTTTCAAAATAAGCAGAACCTTAGCTATGGATATATTTCGCAGGCATAGAATAGATACATAATACATTACATAAACCACAAATTAAATAATGTTTTAAACAACCACAGCATGGGAGCAAAATTTGTGCCTATCAGGAAATTGCTTAAGGAGATCTACTACTAGGAGGAGATCGACGGCGCAGCTGGTTAGCGCGTTTAGCCTGCAATCGTGGAAGCAAAGCAACTTTCGCTATGTCCGGTCATTGGGTGGGTGACCAAAAACTTACTATCTCGAGCTTGTCCGTGCTTTGGAAGGCACTTTAAGCCGTTGGTCCCGGCTGCATCCAGTCGTTACCACACACCAATCTTCACTGGGCCCGCGTGGTGGGTCACGGCCCAATCTCCCTATTCCAACTACAGTGAAGGCCTATGCCCCAGCAATGAGGGCATTAATAGGCTGATGATGATGAGGCAAATAAATGCCCATATCGGTATTCGAATTATTTTGCTAATTGGTTACATAATTTATGATTATCAATACTCAATCAACAACGATTTGCGTAAAACGAGGAAGTTTTCCAAGTGAATGGACATGTTGACTAGGAGAGGTCAAACCAGTGAACTAGTATTATGTATTATAATAGTTGTATACATACAAAGGCTATTTCAATACGCTATGATAAAGAATGAAGATGTGTCATTTCCTAATGAGATTGCATTTGAATGTATCCTTAAACGGCAGCTTGACAAGGTCGCCAAGGACTTAAAAGTGAATCAGGGTTTTTTAATAATATTTTATTAGTCAAGTATTACTTTGATACATGCAGTGATGAAAGTAAGTAATGAACAAGAATATGGATGGAGAGAAATACCAAAGGAAGATATGGATAAACTTCCCGAAATATGATTTATGAAAGTAAAACAATTTATTATGACGGAACGAGTAAACTACCATAATTACAATTAGGAAGAGCGCTCCTGAATGATAATGGCAGTTTCCTTATATAGGTAAAGTTTGGAAGAGCAACAAAATAAGTACCCGTATTTCGAGATCGAAATAACATAACCTTCAACATTTATATTTATCATCTTAATAGCTGAATTTCTGGGAAATACAGATAGGAAAAAAATAGGTGGTTTTGTCGCCCCCTCTTTCTTGTAACAGCCAGTATTTTAGAGTTGGTTAGACCCAGTTAGGTATATCTTTATACTATAAATTTATCCTTCTTCCTACTAATATAATAAAATGAATTTGTATGTTTGTTACTCCAACGCGCAAAAAGTACTGGATGGATTTGGATGAAATTTGGCACAAATATAGTTTATTAATTGGATTGAGTCATAGGATACTTTTTATGCCGTAAAAATGTTTGGTTCCTGATGGATTTTCAAAAACCTAAGTTAAGTAAATGAAAGAAATAACTATATGTAAGTATGATTATTTCTACCACTATATTTTTATTTTTACATTTGGATTTGATAATATATATAAAAAATATAACCATAACTTAAAAAATCGTCCAGTTGAAGATATTTTAAGTGTTGCATTGAAGGGTATCGTAAATACAGATAAAGTTCGATCATTAATGTGTGCAGGCCTAAAGGTTATTTGGAAAACAAATAGAAATACTGTCGACCAAATTGTCCATAAAATTTTTCAAAACTTTGTAAGTAACTTCTAAGCGTATGTATGTTTTAGCTCACACATTTAAATAAATAATGGAAACTTTACCTACTAGCGCATTATATGTATATTTTTGTTTCACTCTCTGTGTAGAAAGACATTTTCTAAGTTTTGACAAAATAAATCATACGACCTTTGCTGTATGAATAAGCTAACGCTACAATGATAAAATTATGCAAAATAAAGATTTGCATCAAAGAAGTTGCATCTTCGCAAGGACACATACAATACAGAACATCATAAACCAGATTATCGCTTGAATTAATTAAATGCTCACATCTAAATACCGAGGCTAATACGAGGAAACTGATGAGGAATATTAATTGCAACATATTTGTTATGAAGTATAAACTAACTCTGAGTTGGTACTGTTGACACACAAACCACAACAAAAAAGAATTGTTTCCGGCGATCATTTAAATATTTTGCTAAGACAGGGAAGTGTTGGTGTTTCAACTTGGCATTTTTCAGAAAAAGGATTATTCATTTGTTTATGGTTTTAACTATTATATTTTTTTTAATAAGTACTACAATTTTAATACTCTGCTTATCTCACACCTGCGTGGCGAAGGTTCGAGTGACTTTGACGTTAAAATTAGCTTTGAAAACTTGGAATTAAGTATGCTCCTTCAGCTGCACATTTATCTTTTTCCACAACATGCTTTAGCGTCTCAAATTATCACCAGTCAAGCTATCGTTTAGCGTCTATCACGCAGCCCACTTAATAAATTACGACAACAGGACTTATTCAAATTTCGAATTTTAGCGCCTTAAGTACAAAAGTCACACGAAACTTCGTCGCGCAGATATGGCAGAATGCAATGAAAATCACATAAAATGGAGTAACACACTGGAGTGGGCATTGAACTTGCATCACACAATCTGGACAAGGGCGCAGCATCGGAGGTTAAGGTTAGCCACTTAATGAGACATTGATTCATCTACCCAATTTTCGTATCGCGTTTCTTGTGTTTTTATTTTTAAATTGGCAGATAATGTATGTATAATTTGGTATAGTTTCGACATCGAAAACTTTTAAAAAACAAGGTTCTTTTCTTCCTTGACAGGTTTTCTGGAGGGGACGTGAAATATAATTACCCATTTTCAATTTGCTGCTGTTTTATAATATTTGGTTAGTATATTTTAAGTCGAAAATGCCCCCGTAACTTTTAAAGAAATGTACCTACTAGAAAAAAAAATAATCGCCTCTGGTTGCAGATGGCTCTGGAACCCTTATCCTTAAATTCAATCGCAAGCGCGATTTTATTATTAAATTATTAAGTTAAATTTAAGTGGTCATGTTCTTGTAAACACGTCAATAAATAAAAGAACCATTTATATTTTTTATTTTTAAGCATGTATATATGCATAACTGCAAGGGAAAATTTGGGAAAATTTTATTAGAAAAAAATCCACGCGGACTCAAACCCTCCGCCCTTTTTTCTAGTAAAAAATTCTTTAGATTTAGACATCTACCAATTACACATACATACATACATGCTTAAAATATTACTTTAATTGCTATTCCTTTTTTCAAATCTTTAATACTTGTAAAGGTATTCATTTGACATTGTGGGTTACCTACAATGCGAAGAGTTGGAGCTACCTTGCAGCTTAAGAAAGGCTAAAGAAAATTCGACACGGCCATCAAGGTCGCGGTAGCAGAATGGTCATTGCATTCGCCCGGATAGCGAAGGTGGCGGGTTCGAGCCCCGTCTGCTGCCTGGAACCGCGTGGATTTTTTCTAGTATTATTTTCTTTAAATATAAGAAACGTTTTTAAGCTATTTTTTTTAACACTTATTTATTTATTACATTTTAAGTTGATGAATATAACATAATTGTGATGTAGAGGATTCGACAGTTGGTAGAGTAGGCCCATCAGAATCTGAGACCGCGTCGAGATGCAGCCAGGGAGGTCGAATGGGTGGGAAAGACAGGGAGAGGAGAGGACAGTTTAATAATGTAATCGCAATTCAATAATGGTGTCAATTTTAGAGTTATTCTCTAAACCTAAAATAAATTTGACAACAGTGCATCCTTGTCGCTCTCTATACAGAATGCAAAGGACACACTGACGTTAAATTTAGTTTTAAGTTTAGAGAATCATGCCAGAATCGACACCATTGTTTTATAAAATGATTGATGTGCGCGAGAACGTAAAATAAATTTATTTATGATCCGTAAACCTTTGCTGCCCCAGCAACAGTCAAAGGCGTCATGAACCTGAGGTTTAAGCTTAAATCATAAAATTCTAAATAACATAATTATACCAACTAAAAGTTAGTTGTAAAAAGATTTTATTTTTAATTTAATCAGTAACTTACGTTTCAGCTGCTTCCCCTCAGGTGTACATCGTTGGGCGTTGATGAGACAATCCACATAGTTCCTGACTAGTCTCTTATTTAAAAACAAAGTGTCCAAGTCCAAATAGTCGTATCTCCTATCGTATTTCGGCATACGTTCCAAATCATTAAAATTTTGTCCAACCACCAGGTAAACACACACACAAAGCAACAACACAGCACGCATTTTTACTTTTATTTTTTTTACGGTCAATGAAGAGTTTTATTGTTATTTTTTTTTCTTAAAAGCACGATGTGTTCGGTTTTTAAAAGATCTTTTTCTTTTAATTCACGGTTGGGTTCGATTTTTGAAAGTGTTTTTTGTTTTTTATTCACTCCACAGTCACGATCGGTTTCCGCGCGACAAAGTTGGCAGCGGCATTTGCGCGCGTGAGTGCGCTGTTTGCGCGTTCGATGTGTTATGGCCACTTGCATCGATGACCTCCGCGTTATAAGATAGAACCGGCGAGTCTGTCGGCTTTCTTTCTCTGCGTAGGACCTGCAAGGAGAGTTTAGGTATTTAGTTTAAACTTAAGAAATCATGGATGTCATGAACAAAAAATATATTTTTTTATACTCCACACAACCCCGATGTTAAATGTCAGCGGAGTTCACCTGAATATTGCTGACCTGAACTCAATTCCTCGCTATGGGTATAGCTCCGGAAACCTTATTCGCTGTATAAGTCAAAATTATAGAATAATTTAGTATACTTTATTGTAGCCTATAGTACAAAACTGTACTATAGTATAACCTATTTGCTTATCTGATGATGAATAATATTAAAAGTAGAAGATACTTCCACTCTTCCATTCAGACTGCTAAATCGATAGAAGAGATTCGTAGTCGATTTTATAAAGAATAAGAATCCCCCACTTCAATCATTGCGAAAACCTAGTTTCATTTTTTCCATCCATATGAGCTTTATGATACTTCAAGGTGGAATTTAGTAAAGGACGAGTTGAGAACGAGTCATATTGTGTAGATCATAGATAAAATTAGTAAAGGGTTGTGGAGTACGTGACTTTAGTCACAAAGGTTAATTTTTTATAATGTTATGCGAAAGCTAAGGAAACGACCAATAAACATTTATACGACGTGGAAATGTTTTATACTCGAACATATATTATATACATATAATATTATTATCACTGTGGCCACACACACAGGTCACTCTGTATTCTAATTAATGTTTAATTTGAGAAGAATAAAACTTTGGAATCAGTTGATCTTTGTATCTCGACCTTGGTTTCCGGTTACGGTAAAATACTCCTTGCTTTGTATGTGTTATAGTCAAACATGGAAGTTCTGACGCAGGAGCGTCAGAACCTAGGAAGGTTTGTCTAGTCAAACCTCAGGTCTAGATATAAAGCCATAAAGTCTTAGTCAAAGTCCAAATAAACGAAGCTTTTCTGACATTTAACAATTGGAAAGTGAAGATTTCTAAGACATTTAACTGAGTCTGCCTCTTAGTAGTATAGCATAATAATGAAATCAATCCAACCCCGTTAGTGACAAACATCTTATACTAAAACCATATAAAAACAAACTTGCGCATTAGAAGTTTTTGTATCTAAAATAACACAGTAGTAACTGCAGGCTTCGTTGTCATGGTTTATGTTGAAGGCGTTTGCCGGGGAGTATACTAGGGTTGCCAAGTGCTGGCTTATCAATTCCGGGACATGTGCATCCCCTCCCTGAAAAAATAAAGCATCAATCAAACCCCCTATCACCCTCAGAATTAAAACATGAAGCAGGCCAGCGGTGTGCGTTATTAGTTTATTTTGTAAGATCTAATTACTGGACACGGGACAAGACGCAAAATTCCGGGACAATCCCGGATTTCCCAGCCATCTGGCAAGTCTAGTGTATACCGAGAAGTGGTGCAAGAGAAAGTTGAGGGCAAAAGATCTGGAGGGCGTTCTCCTATAAGGTGGACATATCTTATCAATCGGCGACGCAATACAGTGTAAATAATTGCGCCCGCTCTGCATCGAGCTACATGGCATTGCATCGGTGGCACAGGAATCGACCCAGGCATGAGTTGTTAAAAGTACACGACTAGACCACGATAGGTATAGACAAAACCTGCACTCTTCATATCGACAATGGAAAAACAAAATCGCTTAAACGCCACTTTAGTAACTTTACAGAAACGGGGATCAAAGATTTTTTTTTTACAAAAAAAAACATAACTCATTTGTAAATGAGAAGTAGCGCCATAAAACTAAAAACATATTCATAAAATAATATTTTGTAAATATCCTCCTATTACAAAGTTACATAGTGCCTTTATGAATTAGATGCCGCTTAAGCGAAAATCACTCGGTCCGCCATACATTTTTCGTCAAGCAAACATCAAATCACGCCAAATAATAGGGCGTAAGCGCCATTGGTTCAAAAAACACCAAAATTTATGTCGCTTCAGAGAACAATTTAAAAAAAATGGAGTTGCTTAAGTGCCAAAAAACTACTCAAATCTTCACGCATCATAAACAGATAGACGCAGAGAAAAATCTGATTAAACTGATATATTTAACTCATTTTCGAACACCAAAGTAGTATATAAGCCTTTCTTCCACTGTCGATATTAACCCTTCTGTAGTTTAGCGGCAGGTCATCATCGTCAACCCATGTTCGTCCACTGCTGGACATAGGTCTCCCCTAATGCACGCCATTGCTCCCGATTTTGTGCTACTCTCATCCAGTCCACTCCAGCCAGCCTACGAATATCATCATCCCATCTTATCTCAGGGCGTCCTACACTACGTTTACTGAGTCATGGTCTCCACTCAAGAACTTTCCGGCTCCAACGGCCATCAGTTCTGCGGCTAATGTGACCAGCCCACTGCCACTTCAGTTTGCTAATTCGATTGGCTATGTCGTAACTTTGGATCTCTGTCGGATTACATAATTTCTGATGCGGTCCTTCAGGGATACTCCGAGCATAGCCCTATAGCTCTCTGAGCGACTTTGAACTGGTGGACTCGTCCAGCCGTGAGTGTCCACGTCTCGGTGCCGTATGTCATAACTGGGCGGAGGCACTGGTCGAAGACTTTCGACTTGAGACATTGAGGGATGGGTGACGTGAAGGCTTTGACAAAGCTTAAGAAATGCTGCCAGCCCAACTGAAATCTTCTATTGGCTTCTCTCCCGAAGTTGTTAAAGTTAAGCGGCAGGTAAAACACTATAATTCTCACAGATAGTTCTGGAGAGTTAAGAAAAGTACTATACATATGCAACAGTTTTAAAACTCTCAACTCGTTTTTTAATGTAATTGTATTTAGTTCCATTGATATTTGAGCTATTAGATAGCATATTTCGGTCTGCGATCGTCGAAGTTATGCAAAGTATTGTTAATTTATTATATCAGTGTTTCGGAGGTTTAGCCTTTTGGGCTCGGCTGTGTCTACAGTTGTTGGTGCATATAAATATAAACCGCGCATGCGTGGTGGGTGGGTCATGGTGATGCACGATCAAGTAATATTTAGGTATATCGGAGAACGGCTAATGAACCGTTTTCTGGTATAAATATAACTTCACCCCATGTCATAATAAGTGGCTGTAGAGACCATACGCGAAGATATCCCGTGGAGCAAATTTTACCTACTGCTCCAACCATTTTCACCTTGTCGGCCTGCTAGTTGCTCACTTTAAGCGCGCCACAGTTATGTGTAACCAAATGCTGATAATTTGATCAAAACTTGGTTCTGAGTGCGTCGTTGCTCTCGGGTGTGAGCGCTGATTAGTTCGATTGTTTGATGTCGCGTCGTTTGATTGGCTTTTATCCATTAGGTGGAAGTGTAGTGGGGGCGTGCCGGCAACATCGGTTACAAACGGTATATGATCACCCTTCTAACCTCTTTCTGTGTTCTGTGGTCGGTAATGAGTGAAATATTGTTAAACGCAAAATATTGAGCTAGTAAAAAACTAATGTAAAAGTTCGCGGTACTGTCGACAATAAACCAAGCTATACATAACTATAAACTCCAATTGAACTGAACACAATCCTACCTCGTGGAGAACGTAACGTTACTCACCAACAGAAACACAAGTGACCAAAAGTTAGCATTATTTAATTTCTGTCTTCTCTTCAAGAAGGGCCATCATAGCCCGCATCCATTTTTTATCCATTTTTCATCCAATTTTATACAAACTTACATTTTATAATTTATTTGTTAAATTTTACAGGTGCAAATTTGAAAACAAAGACCAAATGTAGTAAATGTTACAAATTCATTCATTCATGAACACCTTACAAAAGTTAGTTAGTTACAAAAATATACCCGAAAAATTTTTAAGTCGTAGATAAGAACAAACACAATTGTATGCTCAGAAGTACTTAGGATATTCGAATATTTCGAATAAAATAAAAATCGGTTTTTTGGGAAGCTCCGGCGGCGGCGCGGTGAGCTTGATATAGCTCTACATTACTCGCGGCCATCATAGGCCGCATCCAGAGCACGCATCCATAGCACGCATCCTTCCATATAAAAGACATAGCTTAGTTGAACCCGTTTCCACCAGTGCTATGCTATTTGGACCAATGAATTTGATTGGTGGATATCAAACGCATCCACAGCAACGTAGCATAGCACACCTCTGGTGGAAAAGCAGTCTTAGAAGCTCACTTATCAACAAATCCACATCATTATAGCTATTAACGGTATTGTTACCATGTACCTTGTTTTTAATGAGTCTCCGATATTTCGGCATTGTTACAAGCGCCATGATCACGGAGTAACTGATCCCGTAAAAAACAAGGTACATGGTAACAATCTCCTTAATATCTATAATGTTAGTGACCATGAAAGTTTAAAACAATAAATCCACATCAGCACCAAAAAAGTTTGTGGTATTCTGAAAGGTGAAGGGAAGTTACTTCCTTAGATGGAACGGAAAACGGCTGTAATGCTCTACCTCTTTTCAGAATAAACTTGCGAATATCGCTCTTGTTACTATGTAATGGAGGCGTTACCGAAAAACCATTTTAGAAGTGACAATATACGCCCTACGTGAAACACTCACGGAAGCGAAAAAAAAGTGAAGTGCGTCAGCCCATAAGAATTACGGTCTTGCGAACTCTTTCGACTATTGAAAATGTAACTCAGGAAGTTTTATTGTATTCAAGCAACGGTTCGGAACGGACTCAAAAATATGGACCAATCTTGGAGTAATCTTATATTATTGAAACATTGTTTGTTCATCTGCGATGGACA